AATAGAGCTGCAGATCATAAAACCATTTGGCTGCAGTTAGATTGGCTTCTCAGCAATGAAGTGCTCCTAATTTGTGTGCATTATCTAGCCTCTTCTCTTTAGGTATGTGGTGTGCAAGACAAGGGCCATGAAAAACTGGCACCTTTGGCTACGCTCCTTTGTCTGACTATGATTGCCTCAATCTCAAAAGGGCTCATTGCATCTCTACATGTGGCACTATTTAGGCTTTGATTTGACTTTGCCAAGGGGTGTCCATGATAAGAGGTCAAGAAACAGACTGTAGGGAGTTGCAGGTTAAGGCCTTTAAACTATATTCTGTGGTCAGTGTGGAGTCACTAAATATTTTAAATAGAAAATGGCATGAAAATTTTATGAAACCAGTTCAGTATTTTGGAAGAGGAAATATCATAGGCAGGATAATTATTTAGGTCAGAGATTCTCAAACATTTTTATTTCAGGACTCCTTTAAATTCTTAACAATTCTAAAGGACCCCAAACACATTTATTTATGTAGGTTTTACCAATTTGTGTTTATAATTTTAAAACTTAAAGCTGAGAAAAATTGAAAACTTAGGTATTTATTTAAAATAATAAACCTGTTGCATGTTAACAAAAATAATATACTTGTAGGACAAATGCACTTTCAAATACAAAAAAATGGTGAGATGAGTTACTTTGACACTTTATAAATCACATTAATGTGTGGATTATTGAGAAGACAGTTGGATTTACATATCTGCTTATAAATCGAATCTGTTGCAATGTCACACATTATAAAGCCTCTGCAAAACTCCAGTGTATACTCATGGGAGCACAAGAGTGAAAAAGGCAAATGATGACTTCATAATTTTATAAAAACAATTTTAATGTTGCAGAACCACTGAAGGAGTCTCCATGACCTCCAAAAGTTCTTGACCATATAATTGAGACCTCTGATTTCAGAGATTATTTCCTTGGTTTAAACGAGAAGTTATAATACCAATGTGAGGTCTCAGCTAGAGGACTGGAGTCTTTGAATGAAGATATGTGTTTCTAACTATTTTAGGAAGGATTAAACAAAGAAAGAGTTTGGGCAACTTAAAATTATGGAGAACTGTAACGGGGTGTAGGCTAACAGGCCCTAGAGCGCCCCCACCCCCACCACAACAAGACTGGGTGGGGGATGGGAGACACGGAACAGGGCCTTTGAGAGTAAATTTGCATATCAACAGCAGGCTAGCTAGGGAGATGAGCATGACCTTGACTCATGATGTCACTGGGAGGCAGCTCCTCAGCTACAGCACCTTTGAAAAAGCTTGGGAATGGTTTTCTCTGTGCCACAGGGCCATGCCTGCCTGGACTAACTGTAGCAACCAAGAAAGGTGGAAATTTTGGAGTGCTGGCAGGTGTAGCCAGTTGTGGGAAGAGTTGGAAATGGGATTACAGAGGAGGTTCCAACCTGGGGCTGAAACTAAAAGGTGGACCACCATGTGGGTCAGGAGGCAATGGGGAATAATGCAAGACCTTGAGGGAAGCACTGTCTGGCGGGCCACGAGGGGGCGCTACATGACTTTGGATTAAGAACTGGAGATCGTGGTGACACAGCTGATGGTGCTGGGGACTGTGAGAGAACTGCCCAGTTAACTTGGAGTCTAGCTGAGCTTTAGACTTCTATTTCTTGTCCTGAGATGCAGTACCCCTGACTAGCTTGGTTTATCAAGGGGAGGCAAGATTGTGTGTGTTGGTGGATGTTTTAATGGGACTTTTAAATTTAACAGTGACATTCTGCAAGTACTTTAAACCCGTATAACTTTTGAATAAATCTTTTCCTTTCCAACAAACTGTGACATTGAGAGCACCAATTCCTAAGGGTGGTGAGCAAAGAACTCACAGTGAAACAAAGACGCCGGGGAGGGGGCTTGTTTTGGTAACAGTATCTGGGCTCCCCAAATAGATCCTTTCTACACAGTATAAAATGGATCAGTTCTATAACAGGACTAATCGTCAGGGGCAAAGGTAAAACAGAGATTACAGCTTTTACCAGAATTTGAGTCTTGGTGCCTATAGAGAGAGTGGGGTCATTACATAAGAAGAATAGGGTACAAGCATATGTTATAGAGAAAAATACAATTTTGTTGGGACTTAGATATTGAGAATCTAATGGTAAATAAGAGGGAATGTTTGCTAATCAAACATAAGGAGAGTGTCTGAATGGGGAGAAAGAGTGGTGTGTAGGGGAAACTTTAGCAGAAAAGGGCTTGTCAAAGCAGGACCTCATTCCATATTTAATAATGTCATTCCACTCAGGCTAAGAGATGGTTGCTCTGAAGCCCAAACTCCCAAGAACAGTCACAGTGGTAGGCAAGTTCATGGAGCCAAGGGCCTTCCTTGTTAAGGGAGTTTACTTTTTCTGAAAAAGACTTGATGAGTCAGGCTTGAGATAAAATCTTCACATGAAAATCAAGTGTTCAGAGTCCACTAATGCAAGACGTCTTTCATGGCCCGATGCACAGATCGTCTTTGAGAACAAGGCAGTTGTTACATGCACTTCTGTGTCTGCATTTTAAAATTCACCCCTAAAACTTTCCAAGAACATTCTACTTAAATTGTTAAAACCCTCCTCATTTTCTCTTTCTCCAGGAAAGTTGTAATTAATATCTTTGAACTATAACCAAAAAGTTTGAATGTGAGTAGAAATAAACTTTGTGTAAAATAAATGTTGAAAATCCAAATGGAATCTGGTGATTTGTTGTAAACTTGCTTCATTTGAAGAAACATGTGCTCTGTGTCCCTATGGAAAATATGGGCGTATCTGTGATTGTTACTGATAGAAAGTAAGAAACCGAGACACTCATGTCTGTGTTCTGCTCTGCCCTGCGTCAGAGGAGAGAGAGAAAGAGAAATAGGAACTCGTGGGACGTAAATCAAATGATTGCCTAAAGTAGCTGAACGTTAAGACAATTCTTTTACTATATTTCGAGAACAATAAAAAATATTGTAGATAGCTTAGCTATTTATTAAATATAATTATTTTAGCAATTATAAAAATCTTCCAAATAAGAGATAATATATGAAACATTTTGAAACTAATAATTTAATAATAACAATAATAGTAATGTTACTGATATTATTAACAATAGTCAGGGGCATCTGTTTTATATATTTTGTAGCTGGTGGGGATTGCTGGATCACATAACTCTTCATAAGCAAATCTTCCCAAGCTCTACCAAATATTGCATGTTGAACATGGGAAAGTTCTCAAAAAATGAAGCATATAATAACAGAAAATCTCTTGTTGAGCATAGCAATGAGAAATATATATACATATATGTGTACATGAAATAGATAGATAGATAGGTAGATAGATAAAGCTATACAATTGTACTTTGACTATGGTTTTATGAACCAAAAAGTATTTTAATGCTTGTTTGAGTGTAAATGAATAAAAACTAAATGTCAAAATTGCTGCTCTATCTTAATTAAATGGTAAATTTTTCTTCCTAAGAAGAAGTGGTAGAGAAAAGATAAACATTTTTGAGAATTGATTGTCCAAAACTGTTACAGAAACTTACTACTTTTTTTATAATGTCTCTGTGTACTCAGCACAACATTCCTTATATAAATTATACAATTTCTAAAATACACTAAAATATTTGCTCTGTGTTGATGGGGGAATTAATACTCATTTCAGTCACTTGATAATAAACATATTAATGTGTCTTAGTTAACTTTACTATGATACCATGGTTTCATTCTTTCTAAATAAATAATAACCAACTAAAATGATTTTTCCTCTCATGTTTATTGACTGTTAGATCCATATTTTCCAGAAGCAGAACGTGGCTCCCAAGTTATTATAATTATGTGTAATCCTAAGGACACTAAATATAAAATACAACACTTGCTTTCTTATTTTTCTCAGGTTTTATAAAAACTAATCAGAATGTAACTGTCAGTTTCAAAGTCAGAACTGACTGCTATTTGACTGAGAAAACAAGCCTAGACTAATAAACAGTAGTGGTAGCTGGAGAGCTCGTCCAAGGGCTCTCAGGGTGTGTTAGAAACATGTCCTTAAAACAGAATCACAGTGGCTGAGATGGCCTTAACATTCCCAACAGCTTGACTAAACCTAAACAGGTTTCTTCTTGATGATAGGCCCTAATCTCATTTTTGTTAGAACGTGTACTTTAGAAACTTTCATTATAAATTCTTTCTCCGTCCCTTTGAAATACAAATCTTCTACAACCAGAAATATCTTTCTTAAGACCTATGAGACAACCCTTTGAAATGTAATCATCAAAGGGGACAATGCCCCTCTTTTCTAGTCGCTGTAGGCATGTGAGAGACTGAACTCGAGTTAGCAACAGCTAGCAGACACAGGTGGCCTAATCACGTTTGGCTACCCACCTCCAACCTGCTGACATCCTCTGGTACCTTTATACTAGCTCAGTCCAGAGGTTAAAAACTCTCATTTTTTTCAGTTGAGTAAAACTCCATTCCTCCTATTGCAATAGACTTGACCCCTATTGCAATAGTTTTTAGTAAAGTCTTCCTTGCTTATCTAATTCCATCTTTTTTTGACAGCAGGAAATTTTTTGTTACGTCAGGACACCTACGAGAGGTGTTTGTTCCACACCCCTCACAGTCACATCTGCTGTGCAGCGGATAGACTATGACTTGTGTGTAATTTAACAAGATAACATCAGTTGCTTTCAGAGTTATAAGTAGTTGATACAGGAAAATGGGTGTGTATTTTGCATGTTTCTGAACTTTGATAAAATTTTGAGAGGTTATGTTATACCTTCTGTAACTTGGGAAAGACTAGATTAAAATTAGTTTTAAAAATAATTCACTCTTTTATGTGAGGTGAGGTAGAAAAATTACATTTTTGCAAAAGATATGCATATAATAAATAGATCCAGTCATCCAAAGGAAACACAGACAAGAAGACAGTCAAAACTAACTGAATATTGTTAAACTGTTCACACAAAAGGTATAGTGGAATTTTGCATAAAACATACCTTCCTTCTTTTCATCTTTTTTAGCTGCTGCTGAAATAAGGATAAGAAGTTGTGTTAAAACATTAAATGACCACTTCTCAGAATTCTTTTGGGAATAAAAGAATGTATTACATATAAACTCAATGGATATCTATGTACAAATTTATCTATCCAAATCTGAAATAAAAGAATGACCTAAAATGTTATTCCATAAAAAGAATTTTCAATTGAGATATAAACATAAAGAAATGAATAAAAATATTTAATAAGGATGTGTTTAGCCCTAACTCTTATCTGTAAACTGCTTTATCAACACTTTTATCTAATTACCTTAAAAGGATACTTCTAACAAGCTTTTGAAATTTTAGGTTACTATTCATTCAACAATACATCCTTTATTCTGGAAGAATGAGTTCTGAGCTGTCTTCTCCAATGTAGTTGGAATATAAAAGTGAAGAGTCTATGGCCCAAACTCAAATTTGAAAGCAGTTTCCAGATTATCTCTTCATTCTCTCCCCCTGAGCTCCTCTATTATGAGGCTGAAGTCATACTTTATTCCTGGCTGAAGTCATCGTTCCATTTCCACGGTGACCTGATCCTCAGTCAAAACAGGTGGTTGTGTATCTTTACAAGAACATGCAAACCTTAGCTGGAATGATTCCTTGAACTGGTAGTCATTTGCTTAAGGAATTATCTCTGAGCTGAATTTTCATGAGTATAAAACACAAAAGTGATTATAATACTAGCCCTCTCTTTCTACCTTCTATAATATTGGTTATATTTTCTATCAGAACTCTTCTAAAAAAAGTATCAGTTTTCTTGAACAACCTGATGATCAAAAGAAAATTAAAGCTTACATCATAGCTCTTAACCATTCTAGCATATATTGCTTATAAACAACATTGCTGAGTCAATGGCAATTAACCAACTCATTTTGCCAGTATTTACCAGCATGATTCTGCATGTGGTTGGGTCCAGGATGCAATCCTGTCATGTGCTAAGAAGTCTGCTACAAGAGCTTTCTGCCCAGAAACAAATGTGCCATCACCTAAATATATCTCCTTAACTGTTCACTATTGCATAGTGTGGTATAAGAGAAAAAATAAATCTTTTCTCCAATAAATGTTTTATTTTTTCCCCTAAACGTGTTCTGTAAAGTTTCCATAGATGACAAAAGCAGAACATTTGTACCCTTTTCTTACACTTCCATCACATTACTACCCATGGCTGAGAATAAAGGTCACATAAAGTCATTGCATCCCATTCTCTTCAGTTCCAGGACACTGGAGTTAGAATAGCTTTCCCAAGAAATGTGATTGCAGGTAATAGTTAAAAATAACTTTATAGGAAAATTATTTTAAAGATGCACTTTTCCTAAACTGGTGGCTTGAAGACTCAATATTTTCCTGAAGGTCTCTTAAAAAACACCACTCTTGTACCCCAAAGATATTAGTAAATTATAAAATAGATTTTCTCAGATGTCTCATAAAAACTAGGGTGATTTTTCACCCTAGTTTTTCCCAATCTGGAAACTGATTTTTCAGTCTTGGTATATAGATGAAGTAATAGAAGTTTAAAAACATTCTGACAGATTTTTCTAGTATGACACAATATTAGAAAGTATAACTGAAAATTTCATATATTATTTGTATATTTCTATATATCATTTGTCTATCCATCCATCAGTCAATCTATGGTTTATTTTTGAAGGTATAAATAAAAGCTCAATGCCTGAAACTAGGAGTCAAGATATTAATCCTAGGGTCCTTCCGTGGTTCCTCTGCAAATTTGGCATTTGTCTTAGTCATGCTTCTCCCATTACTAACATCAAGCTTTCTCCAATTACTGAAATACTTGAAATGTGTACCTTCATGCAACAATACCGCGTTTTCTCTAATAGTCCAGCAGATGGTGCTATTCTGCAATAAACAGCTTTTGTTTCTGTCAATAAAGTGCTATATAAGTGGGGAAAAAAAAGAATGTTTAAAGTGCTTCACTGCTTACCTTGTGCTGAAGCTTTCATAGTTCCTTGTTTGGTTTCGGGGGCTTTCCCTGGCTCTTATAAAGGGAAAAGATACATAAATTAATATAAACTACTGTCAGAAAAATATGCAACAAAATTTGTTTAAAAGGAAAAATTACAAACCAAAATCAAATACAGAAAACACTCAGCATTGTTAAGAACTGAACACAATTATTAGGGAGAGAGCTGAGAATTAGGCTTACTAACACAAAAATTAAAAAAACAAAGAAAAGCAGAACATAAAATTTCCTCGACTGTTTTTGCTTCACTGTTAATGACGATGGAACACTGCATTTGGTTAGCACCTAAATTTGAAAATCTTAAAATTCTTTGTAAATTATTTCCGTATGACCAGCCTTTTTAAAGACTAGAACATTTAGATATAAAGTGGCTCTTTGAAGGTTCCTGAGTGACTAACATGAGAAGAAAGCCCAGTACAACCAGTTTCCAGCTTTGTCTTCAACTTGATACCTTTCCCTCCACTGTGTGGCAGGGGCGCCGGGGGCAGCGTAGCCACAACTAAATGCATTGTGAGAGAAGAAGCTAGTTTCACACATTTTAAACCTTTCTGCCCTCGTCTTCATTTTCTTGTTTTTTCCCCTTTGTTCAGAATTTTCTTTTTAAAGAAACAGAATACAAAAACAGTTAATAAACACTTAAACGTTATTTAATTAGTATGAAAGATAAAAGGAGAAATAAATATTTCAAAAAGCAGTGGCTTATTTCATTTCATTGAGTAGTGGTCCCTGATTGTCTTTATTAAGTTTTCAACAATTGAATCATTGCTTAACAATAAGGGAAGGAAGATTCGGTCATTTGTCGTAGATATGGACCTTGACTCATTCACTCATCACATATTTATTTAGGATCCGCTATATGTATATAGTAGCTAGGTATAGATGTGGAAGTTGAAACACATATATATATTCAATCTTATTTAATTATCATAAAATGTCGATTTCAGTTAGTTTGATACTGAGTGGGCAAAAGCAGGTTTACAGTTATTCATACAGAAAAATAACACAATAATCAAGAAGTAATAATACAATAACAAACCGTGTTTTGCATCTGACAACTGTAAACCTATGTTTGCCAACTTTTGTATGACAATTTTAATTAAAGTTAAAAATAACAACATTTCATCAGAATAACTTGTCAAGGAATCATAAGCACAGAACCCATGTTTTTTTGGCCAAACAGAAGAGATTCAGTTTGGAATTCATTCTTCACTATTTGTTGGTGAGAAAATTATTCATTAATGTCATTTCTATTATTATGTAAATGCAAATTTAAATTGTCTTTTTATATAAAAAGTGTTGTTTGATACATACATATCATTTTCATTATTACTCTACTTATTTGCCAAACAAAATATCTTTTTCCAAAATTAAGCCCAGAACCCATTCTATTCATGATGTCTGTATTATTCATCTTTATTCCTCTCTGGAAGAAAACTCCATGCCAATGGTCATTCTGGTGCTGCCTTTGTTACACCTAATAGATGGTCTTGATAATCTGAGTCAAGATTCACCTATAAATATTGAATTCTTAACTAACATATTTCTAAGTGTTGCTCTAACTCTAAAAGCACAGGCTAGTGTTTAGTGAGTACTTAATAAATAATCGGTGAATAAAAAGCAGATAAAAAGATAGAGCCAAAATATTGCCAAAAGTGCCCTAAATTACTCAGATGTTTTACTCCTTAAGATCTCAACATATCAGAGAAATATAGAGTAATAAGTTATTTTTTAAAAAATTTTACAGTTGGAATCAGTGAAGTGTCATAAGATTTTTACACTTGCTTTTCCTCTTATCTTCTATTTTCTTTTGTGTCATTTCAGATTAATTATCCTAACTGAACCTTTTACACCTGAAGTTCTGTTGGACCATCCAACACACATAATTGTGAATTATGGAGAGCTTTCCTTAAGGTTTTACTTCTGCCATCAATCATTTGGTTTCTCTGTCAGCTGCTTTCACCCCCAGTGATCAGGGTGCAGATCATGCCCTTGACTGTTCAGGATTTCTTACGCTAGTATCCTGACAGATGACAGATTGGTCATCTTTCTGCAGAGTCACATCTTCCCTACCCTTATCCTGTCTGTGTGACTGTGTGCACCCTGAGTGCGCATGTTTCAAGGGCCCATACCCTGTGGACTCTCCTACTATGCGTTAGCTCCCAGCCCTGTAAAAATAAATCAGTCCACTGATGCACACTATACATTAAAGATATTGTTCCAGGTAAAAGGTGTTACTTTAAAGGGTTAGTTCTACAGACAATGACCACATGCAAAGGGATGATTTTAAAGAAGCTACGTTTCAAGATCATAGGAGTAAAATGTTGTTTGTCCTTCAGACTTTCCTATTCTTTCTCTGATTTCAGCTTTTAAGTCAATATATTAACAAACTATTACTTGAATGGTATTTCTGTAGAAATCAACAGTTTAAAACCAAATGCTATTCAACAAGTCTGTCAGCTTTCATTCCACACAACAAAAATATTGACTCCAAATCTATTGAGCATACATACGAGGTGATCAGACATAACATCTGTTTGTGTTGGCATTGCAGTTTTCGAAACTGCATGACTTTAAGGAGGGAGTCAACCCTGAGACCAGAAATGTAAAACATTAAAAAGGTCACAGCCAAAATTGTGTACGAGTGAAAACATATCAGATCCATACAGTTAGGGTGAAACAGTGAAGGGATTAAGAACTTCAAATTGATAGTCACAAAAGAGTCCTGGGGGATGTCAAGTACAGTATTGTAATAACTGTGTATGGTGCCAGGTGGCTCCTTGAAATATGGGACAAAACTCTCTGTAAAATATGTATATGATTGTCTGATCACTATGCCATACACCCAAAACTAATACAAAGTAGTATCCATTGTAAACTGTCATTGAAAAGTGAATTAAAAAAATAATAAAAAATAATCCATGAAATAAATTTTATTATAAGTATTTTTCTGCATCCTTTTGATTACTGCCAATTGCAAACTAAATTTTCATTAGAAAAAAGTCTCAAACATATATAAAATTAAAGAAGAAAGTATAATGAGCTCCATGCTCCCAGCACTTATTCAACAAGTATCAGGTAATGGCTTGTCTCATTTTCTCTGTATTACTCACTACCTACACCACCCATATCCCAAACAAAAAGTTCATTACATCAAATAATAGTACCTTTTTCCAAATTTTTATTTGATAATTTTAGTTATATCTTTCAATAAAATAGTGATTTCAATAAAAACACAGGGTGATTAATTCAACAAAAATTATAATAATTTTGAAATTGATAAATAATACTTTGGACTGCCGAATTAGAAACAGAATGGACTTAGATTAAAACGTCAGCATAATTTACTTGGGAATATTTTAGTAGAAAATTATTGGAAAAGTTAGTATTCTTAGGCTCCTGAAATATATTGTATTTATATAAACAAGTTGTCATGAGTCAGATAAACCAAATGGGTTAGTCTCTTTTGAATTCATAGGCATGGAACAGTCTCATTTATGAAATTGAATCTGCAAATATTTCATTCAGGAATTGATTTTTGCATAGAGCTTTAAGTATTCATTTAATATCATGAACTTTTCATCCACAGGACTCTGTTTATGCTTTTCATGTGAAATCTAAGCTGATTGAATTTTCAAATGTAGATTTTCATAACTTCAATAGCAAATGGACTGCCACACTGTAAGTACAGTATTGAACTTTGGCTAATGAAAAACAGATGAAAAATAATGGTGTTGTAGAGAATCATACTTACATTTTAAATATTTTCTAAGCAACCCCTCTGCCTGTTGTCCCAAAGTAAATCATTGCATTTTCATTTTTTTATCAACTGAGAAAGATTATTTTCTCTTTCAAAAGTAACAATGAGCAATTCCTGAATTATGTAAGTCTTTTCCCTTCTGCAAATAAAAGCAAAATAAATAAGAAAGATGTGCCCCTAAATGAAGGAAAGTGCCCCTTAGAGAGAAAAATTGATAGAGATATATGAATGAATACCAGCAGGTGGTAAACAAGGTGATGGGCTCTGATGAAAACTAGTTATTTCACAATATCCAGCCCACTGTACTCAGCAGTAAAGATTTCTATTTCAATGTGTACTCATATTTTAATTATTTACTTATGCTATTATAACTTCCATTAATCTATAAACTCCCTAAGATCATTGACTATTATTTATTCAACTTCATAACACTGCTCTAGCAAAATGCTGGGAAATTCTCTGTAATAAACATATAGGGAATTTATTGCATACAACATCTAATTATAAAAGTGATTAAAAAATCCAATTAAACAGGTTGAAATGAGACATTAAATTTAGAAATCTCTCTCTCTCCTCTTCCTTCCTCCCTCCCTCCCTCCCTTCCTCCCTTCCTTCCTTCCTCCCTTCCTTCCTTCCTTCCTTTCTTCCTTCCTCCCTCCCTCCCTCCCTCCCTCCCTTCCTTCCTTCCTTCCTCCCTTCCTTCCTTCCTCCCTTTCTTCCTTCCTTCCTTAGCTTGCGCCCTGACTGGAAGGTTTATGACCTTCTGGTTTATGGGAGGATGTTCCAACTAACTGAGCCACACAAGGCAGGGCAGGAATTTGTTTCATTTCAAGCCCTTCTTTTCTCTTTCATCAATGATTATGTATTTATTATGCAGAGTTTTGATTTTTAATTTTAGAACCTGATTTTCATTAGAATACCCTGTAACCCTAATTGAATTTGGGGATTTTGAAGAATTTCACTATTTCAAATAGGTTTCTAACTAATTTGTGTGGATTAGGAAATACAGGAATTCTATTTAAGGATGTAATATGAACCATACATTGTTTTAGAAGTGAGATTATGAATCAATCTACTTTCCTTCATTTTCCAATAAGAAAACAAACATTTTTATAAGCTATCTCTCGCTAAATCAGCAATAGTCCAAGGCATTTAGTCTGTTCTTAGGTCAGAAAATTGAACACAGAAAAGTTGAATGACTTCACAAACTATGACAGAAGTTAATATTTATTGGTTCAGCAACTAAACTGAGCCAGCA